CGCCTTGGGTCGTAGCGCGTCTGAAAAGAGGACCAGGAATGTCTAAAGGGCCCACCTCCGCCCCAAGCCCCGCTCCCATCCTCTCATTCCCATCTCCTTCTAAACCCAGCCTCAGCATATGCGCGGGGTCTTCGTGGAGAACGTGCGTTATGAAGAAACTATTCATGGATTCCAGTTTGGGTTTTTGGGGACCAAAACGAACTCCTACTTTAATCTCATTTATCCATGAACTCTTTGTTACCCCTTGGACAGAGAGGACATAAGGGCAGCCACTCAGGGTACTTCTTAGAGCCGGATTTTCAACCTCCTTTTGGAAACCACTCGTTCCTGAATGCTGAGTCCCAGCAGCTGGTGATGCGTTTACTGGCAAGACCAGAGATGGACAGGTAAGGCTGCAGACCCACGCCTGAGCTCCCCAGCTGCCACGAGGATCCTAAATCCCCCTTCCATTTCCAGACCAGTCCCGGGCGAGCTAAGCTCGGGTCACCACGCGTCTCTGTCACGTCCGTAGGTGTCGGGGGGAACCTGCGAGTCATTTCAGGCCCACTCCCAGCCATCCCAGCAGAAACAGGTGTGAGATTTTGCAGTCAGAAGCCAAACCCTGAGCATCTGCCCAGGCCAACCAGCCTGGGACCTCCCTCTGACTCGGCCCAGCCTGAGCCCACCCAACCCCGTCCGCCCCCGTTCCTCCTCCTGTTCTGGCTCCTCGTTCTCATTGTTGGCTCTGGCCTCGTGTGTGACTGCTCCTTTCTCTCATGGGGATTTTGGGCCATGCGTGTGGAGACGGGATGCGTGTGACCCGTCGGCACAGCCTGACATCTGGAGTCCATCCCCTCTGCTAGCTCTGGTCACAGTGTGGAGTGGACAGCTTGCGAGGGCTCTACCAGCCGGCATGGCAGGGGCAGAAGCTGGGCCTGCCTTAGGCTCCTGTCGCCGGCCACACTTCCCAGCTCGGAGCAAGGGCCCGACGGCACTCTTCGATGAGTGCGTCAATGACAGATGTGTCGCCATCAGCAGGCAGAGCCGGGACCACTTGGTTTTCACCACACATGTACTCCAAGTATTTCCAAACAGCCAATAAATTATACTTATTTCCCAAAAGATTAATGTTCATAACGTGCTTTGAAATTCACAGACCACTCATGTGGTGAGAGAGACCATCTCCGTGGGAGATGGTCAGAGGAAGGCGAAGGCGGAGGCAGCACTCTTCCTGGGGCTGGAGGAGGAGGGCGAGAGGCTGCAGTGTGGAGAAGGGAAGAAACCATCTCCAAATTAAAACTCACCTTGATCATAATCGTCATCCTCAACTGCTGCTGCTTGAAGTTTCTGAAGCTTTAATCTTAAGGATGTTACCTGTGCCAGTTTGAAGGGGAAAATGAAAAACAAATTACAATCACAATCAAGCAAACTTATTTTGTGAAAACTAAGAATGTTTAGATACTATCTCAAAACTGAACTTCTTCATTCTCCTTCAAAAGAAAAGAAAAACCACAAATGTACATTTCTCTAATGCCAGATACATTCATTTCTCCCCAAAAAGGTAACATAAAAATAAGTGTAATTTGAGCATAAAATCCACAGAAAAAGTTAGAATGTTATTTTAAACAAAACACCACACTGTGCCTTTATCTGCATAATAAGGAATTCAAATTTCCTGACCAAATGGTCTCTGTTCTAAAATCACATTAATATTATGAAGATAAACACCAAATTTGGAAGGGAAAAACAGAAGATATGAACTTAAGCTAGGCAGGCTGTCCTTAGGGCTGATCGAGAATGCCGGGAAGGACCTCGTAAAACCCTTGGAGAAGTCCTAGGTTCAAATACTTTGCTTTATAGAAAAGGGCATTGCCGGGACCAGCAGTTGGCGTAATGGCTATGTCACTGGACTCCCATGTAGTCGGCTGCAGTTCGAGTCCCGGACCCAGTGGCTTAAACTCACACCAGGCATATGTATGTGGGGGCCAAGATCTCGAGAGGAGACTGGAAGAGAAGGGATTGTGGCGTGGCCATCCCCCCTGGGGGGTGATTTCTCGCTTTCTGTCTCTCTGTCTCTCTCTCTCTCTTTCTGGTGAATGCATGTGCTCTATAGCAAAAACCTCTCAAAAAAAAAAAGGTAAGTTTTTGTGAAACAGATTTTAGCTCCTCTTACTACACAAAAGAAAAAATGTATGCTAATCTGTATGTAGCTGTATTTATCTCTATCTCATAACATTGTGTAAACCTCAAATATACCCAATAAAAGAGCATTCTTTTTAAAAAGTGAGAAGTCATCTGTGGTCATGCCACAGTCCCCTCTCCTTCATTCTCCTGGGTCTGGGCACACGTGCACGTGCATCCAGCATGTTGGAAGCCACTGGTTTCGGGACTTGATCACCGGAGTGCAGTGCCACCACTGCTATGCCATCTGCTGGCCCCTCTTCCTACCTCTTTACCACAGTTTTCTCGGCCCCACGCACCCCTGGTAATGTTCCCACGCCGCTATTTCTGAACAGCATGAGGTGCACACAGGCCCAGCCGCGTGGTGCAGGTGGGGAGCAGCACTCCGCAATGCTGGAGCTCCATCCTGGGCTGACCTGAAACACGTCAGGTGAACGTGCATGCCCACGATCCTGACTACAGCAAGGTTGGGTGGGGATGACGACGCCATGAGATCCTGCCCAGGGTGGCTGTTTCTTGCTCCCTCTCTCAAGAAATAAAATAAGTACACTTTAATAAGCACACACTGTCGGTCTTCACTATGCACAGTAGCTGTGTTCTGCAAAATTGCTGCCGACGCCCAGCTGGGGACACGACGTGGGACTCTGAGGAGAGACCCGCAGGAGTTCCCGAGAGGCTCTGGCCCCGTGTTCTGCAGCCCGTCAAAGCACAGCCGTGTTTCGGAGTGTTTCTGGGTGAGGGAGCTCACATAACGTGTACTGTTGCTCGTAACATCGAACTCACGGCCTGCGGCACCGTGACTCATGAACAGAGCTTATCTAACGTGTCTCCTCCTGAGGCCCCAGCAGAGTCTGCCAGCACTTGGGAACACTAACCAGTGCCCCGGCGTGTTAAACAGTAGAACACACAAAACAGACAAAGAAGTGGCACTAAACAGACAGCAGAGGACACTGGTTTGCAGTCTGCGCTGGAACAAGCGGGCAGAACACTTCCTGGCTTGACCTCAGCAGGA